AATAATAATAATAATAATAATAATAATAATATAAAAGAAGTAAATCATAAGGCAAGTTGTGGATAGATGTGAGCTGTTTAATTTATGTGTAACTTAGCCGATACGCAAAAATTATAATAAATCTATGTAGATCTCTAAGTAAATCTCTATTACTTTCAGATTGTCATCCTGTTTCCTTATACTTCTCAAATAAAAACACCTAACGTCCTAAATATTTCCTGTATATGTCTTACATATTTTTTCGTGCACAACTCACATTTACTGTTTATTGAGCAGAGTTCAGTATTTAATCAAAATTGGAGTGGATGTTTCTTTTTTGATAAGCTATCGAATGGCACAAGCGGCGCTTCATTCAACTCAAGGACACTTTTAATCCTCTTATCCAGCTAGGCCCTTTCTGAAGTTTTGTACTGTATTTTATTAATGTAATATCTAGTAGCTGTTAAAATGTAAATGCTTTAACATTGTTTTTATGTAAGGGGTCATAAAACCGTTAGATTCTATATAAAATTATTAGAAAAAGAGTCAGTGAGTAGAATTTTTGACGTGAACAGAAATTAGGACACTCATTATGTGTGTATGTATTAATCGGCTTGTTCGTAGTACAAATCAAGGCTAATAAGATCGTATCACTGCGGACCTGTAAGATTTGACTGGCTTCGAAAGCCGTTCCAGGGAGCAATATCACTGGACTACTGACGTGACCGCTCTCAACGCAAATCATGTTCGGGAACTCGTCGTCGCCGAAGTCTGGAATGTCACGAGCCTTCTCCTGCCAAGGATTCCAAACGACCGTATCGGGAAAATTGTACTTTTGCACGCGCATCTTCCTGCCGGACACGACGTTCGTGATTATGTGCTCCGGTTGCGTGTTCTGGTAAATTCTGTCCGTCCACTCGCACACGGTCACCACGTCGCGACCTTCTTGAAAGATTTGGTTGTCTCTCGTCTGCAAATGAACAAAATTCAATTTTAAGTGCGTCGTTTAATCTATTTAATTTATAATATCAGATGCGTGTATATGAAACATTATACGGTGGTCGAAATCGCGAGAAAGCTGATCAAAGAATTTTGAAGAAATTTTCGATACATATTTACGATTATTACGATTATTTCGATAATATGTACATATAACAACAAACATTTATGTAAGTGTATAAACCAAATACTATTTTTACTAATAATAAATTATTAAGCAACAAAACCGTAAATTTCTATACTAATCCCTCTTGAAACTGAGAAAATTAAATTGTTTGCCTGAGAATAAACAGCAATTCAAAGGATTAATCATAGCATATGAAAAATTGAAATAATATCAATAATGTGTAGGTAAATTAATTTTAAATTCAGCACCACTGCTCCTCTCGGACGTCTTGTTCCTACAATTTAAAGAGTTTACCTAAACCATATGATTTTATTCCGCA